ACTTTTTCCTAAGGATCTGCTAGATCTAAAGCAAAAAAGGTAAAGATCACTTGCAAAGAGGCCTTTATCTCTGTGAGGATGCAAGCATACTAAGTGCAATGAATTATTAAAACCACATGTACAATTGATTTTAGCTCAGTCATATTGTTTTTAAAAAGTACATATATGACTTCAAAGACAGAGAAACATATTAAATGACACCCTGAGGATGTAATTAGCAAAATCTAAACAGAGGGAAACAGCACATATGATCTTGTTTCTTTAACAAATAAACTGTAAGAAAAAGCATAAGAACAGCATGCAGAAGGAAAAAGCTAAATATCAAGAGATTCTAAGAGACATATCAACCAACTGTAATGTACAGACTTTATTCTGATCCTGATTTGAACATATAAACTATTTTTACAAATCCATTATATATGGATTCTTACCTGATGATATTCTAATTCTGAGGTATAAATTTTAATTGTAATGCTTATATTTATATATTTGATGAATTTCAATTTTTGAGTAGACTTAAATATGTTTTACTTCAAAGTCTGCAGATTTATATAGTAAAACAACTTTCTACCTATCCTACTAACAATAAATGTATTTGTAGTATGAACATGTCTATAAATAAGCATCCTTTCCTTCTATCGCTGGAAGTTATTCAAAAGCAGTAAGGAGGAAAAAAACCAAATAAACAAAAGATCAAAACAATTCATCATCTCCATTTCTGGCAAAGCTATGAGATTAATATAATCCCTAGATCCACATTATGCTTAAAAACTGTCCAATCAGTTTACAAAAGGCAGAATCTATGCAGGGAAAAAATCAGAGATGAGAACCATAGTTTAGCTTTTTGTTTTTCCAGAAGTAATCTTTTTTATCTAGAAGTGCTTCACATAGCTTCCATTTGATTCAGTCTTTTACTAGTGTCTTACCAGGAGGAGTAAAGCTCAGATATTTCTGCTTCACTGTGTTGGAGTCATAGAACTTTAAGACATCCAATACAGCCTGAGGATTCTTCTTTTGCTCTAGTTTGGTGATATTGGAAGTCTGTAACAATCGAGCCCACTGTTCTGGCATGCCCTAACAAAAAGATATTCAGAAATTAGTTGTGGTTTAATTGCTCTAATAAAATCAATTTCCAGAGATAAATGACAAAATACATAAAACAAACCAATCTACACAATTGTAGGTTCGACTAAATTTTAAAAAGCCTAGTTTTGGAAAGGTCTATTTTTCTTGATCTATTTTGCATAATTATTATTAATAGGCCGAGCTCTCTAGGAAAAAGAAATAGCCAATGACTAATACTTATAAGAAGTGAAAAACAGCAAGAATTCACAGTGAACATATGGACAGAAAAGTTAATTTCAAATTTAATAGTAAAGGAAAATGTTTGAGTGTTGGTTTAATGTTATAAATGACTCCAACTAGGTAAACTTACAGTGAATTCTCCAGTAACAGCATCAAAACCAACATGGATGGTGTGCTCAAAATCGGATGGAGGAGAAATTTCCGGCCGTTCCTTTTCTTTCTTTTTACTTCCTAGAAGGCATTAAAAAAAAAAAAAGAATCAGCCTATTTAAATAAGATTAATAATTAGGCACTTACATGTTTATATTTTTCCTAAAACAGATTAGGGAACAAAGTTACTCTAGAAAAGAGATTTCCCCTAAAAACACACTAGCTGATAGAAAATTGGTAAATGAAATAAAATAACCTATTCTGCCATAAAGCAGGGTGGGGACAACCAGACAGTGTCCTGACGAAGAGGCACAGGATTGACCAGCACCAAGCCTGAATAAAAGGGCACAAGCAGAAGAGAAATCCTCACTGGAGCACTGGTTCACTCATAAATAAAAGGCAACATCTCAGACACTGAACAATCTTGAAAACAATGCATATCAAACCCAATTTTCATCTAGCTATATTCATCCAGAAAGTAAAATTTACATTATTATGACTATGTAGATAATATATACTGTAAAGATAAGTCGTTTGCAAAGGAGAGGTATCTCCTTTCTTGTGAAACCCTAATCCTTCCTTTTTATTGGCATTATTAACTGCTACATTTAAAAACTACACAGCTTTTCTAAGGTCTCTCTGTTATTTTTGCAATATTTCTGCCACACACCTATCAATAATATTCTCTGTAAATGCAAACACATCAGTTCCTTTCCCATGGACCACCTCCCTCTAGCTCCTCCTGCTCTAACTTATAGTAGTTCGCACAGTAGCCTCCTGCACGGCTGCTGTCCTACAACATCCTTCATTCTTGCCCTGTGCTAGAATCTATTTTCTGGATCCTATTTTCCTCCTCTTGATTCTACCCCTTTGTTTTAATTGATAGTTCTCAACTAATTATATGCTTAGGTTAAAAATGTGTTTTTCCCCCTTATAATTTCTAGGGTTGCTATTTAGGAAGGCCAATGCCATTTTGATTCTTGTTTTGAACCACTGTTAAAAATCAATTGTCTATTTATGTGAACATCTATTTCTGGATGCTCTGCTGCGTTGCAATGGTTTGTCTGTCTACCTTTATGCCAATACCACCAGACTGCCTTGATTATTGCTGCTTTGTAATAAGCATTGAAACTACACAATGTGAATCATCTTGTCCTTTTTTCAAAGCTGTTTGGCTATTCCAGGTCTTTCCATA